ACACCAAACACTGAGAGGAAATAACTGCCTGTATTCTAGCCCAAAAATGCAATTTATTGCACCAGGCGTATTGTATGTAATAACTAATTAAAATCACTATTTACTCATTCCTGTATTAAAAAAAAACTCTTCTTCGGCTCCTCGTTTACGTCAAGTCACGTCATGACTTGAAGAACTTCATCCAGTTTTGAGCTACATAATCATGATCCTAATTATGAACAACAAACAGCAATCCCAATACGTCCATTTCTCAAACGAGTTTAATGCTGCTCCGAGTTAATTATCAGCAGCTTTTAAATTTCAAAACTAAAACAAAGAAATGTTGGGTAGGGCCTATATTTACATTTAAGTGGAGCGTATACGAGTTGAAACAAATGTAAATAGATTGTTTAATTTCAGTTTACTATTTTAGTTATTCAAGAGCACATTCATTAATTTGATATTATACCTCAGGCCATTTACCAATCGTTTTAGTCCCTGCATCGACTGGTCTTTATTAAACCTAGGCTAAGTGCATCCGGACGACGAATTTGACAACAATTAGCATCAAAATTAAGACGTTGCATTGATGAATTAATCACCCCTTTTTATCTTCTGTCATATCCGGATGACATTTAGGAGACTTCAGACGATGTATTTTTAAGTGTGGCAATAACCCTGGAGTCATCTGCTCAACATTGCTGGGCAAATTGTTGCAACGGCTCGCAAATTGGTTTTGATGTTTGCTCTGCCATTTTGGGACTACCATGCATGGACCGACGCTCTTATTTATAACGGGACCTCTCTAATAGGCCTCCCTAAGTGGCCGAATTGTTGACAAATATTTGAGTGTTTAACTACTCGATGGGAGTTTTTAAGGCTGAAAAACAAGACACTTAGCGATCAATACGTGTAATTGATGTTGTCTATGCGATGATTGCTTTTAATTGCAAGTTAGTGACTGAAACCGTTTATAATGGACATAGAAATTACACCACTGTGTTCTCTTTTTGTGTGAAGATGCCAAGATGGAATGTATTTAAGCCATTCAGAGTAATACAAAAATATAAATTAAGTTTATGCGAGGATGATACTCATCTTCTATTTTCCCTTGGACGACTTGGGCTTCCAATTCTGAACATTTTTTGGATGCCATTGAGCCCGAAAGTGGCGCTATTTGGCCATGCTGTGGATGATCCTTTTTCAAAATGGCTAATGTTCTAGTTTGGGAAACATCACTCATTTACTGAGTAGGGCCCTGGTTGTCTTCTTTGGGTGAGAATTTGCCAACTACCACAAATTGAAAAGAAATTGAAAGATGACATTTTGATCATCATTTTTCCGTGCGGCCTGAACACCTATGAGAGCGAGTATCTTTTAAAAGAATGTTGAAGTATGGGGATTTATCACTGGTGTCTATGGGAATTTTATCTTGGGGTGCAGCCCTATAGAATTGGCAATGATATGGCTTCCAGTATTGATGATGTCACTGCAAAATAAGACAAGCGTTCGCAATTAATAGCAGATTATGCGTCATGGTTCTCAAATTTCGTTTTGTCCATCGCCAAAATATACCCATCAGAAAAAGAGACGACATCTGTAGGCCTATAGTTTGTTGTTTAAAGGTCAAAAAGGGGAGCCCTATTACTTGCACTTTTATATTTGTTAAAGTCATTTCCGCACGAAGTAAACATGTTGAGAGAAGTGCAGGACCAAGACCTTGCTATCGTGATTGTGTGGACAGAAAGACATCATCTTCCATTTCACAGAAGGGATCCACGTGGTCCGCAGGGATTTTTGACCGCCATAATTTCTCTCAAAACCGAATAACATTGTTTTAACACTTATTAGACATCGTGGTCCAACCCGTTTTGATGATCGTGGTTGGATAATTTCCCCATCCGCTGGGCAAAGTGTGAACGACGGCAAAAGATTAATCTAAGGATTATGATTATGCTCCCCAAGGTATTTCCCCTTGTACCTAAGACAAGTCATTTTTGTAAAATTTTTATGCAATCTTGAACGGTTTTTCCTATTGACTAGTTCAACTTAGCCTTCCTTATTGCATGTTTTTCTTTTGCGCAAAACAGGCTTGAAGCAGTCATCATCTCGCTCGTATCAAATTAATGAGTACAAAATGAGCTTTCAAAAAAGTATACACTTCTGAAAAATGCTTATTAATTATTGAACAATTTAACCCCAAACGCCGGTTTCCTTTTACTCAGGACACACGGTATATCTAACACCGACTTGCAGGCCTATGGGAAGCCTATACATACAAACTTACAGTATTGCCATGTAAGATATGTGTGTGCACAAAACACAAATAACGAGAGGAGAGAAACTAGGACAGCACGTGCGGACCATGCAGATAGCCGAATTAATGCAGGTTATTAATAAAATAAACTGGGACAATGATCCGACTAGACAAGCCGATAAGAGCGCGGTAGTGTTGGCGGTTGCCCAGCACATCAGCGGCAGGGGAGGTGAAGTCCTCAACAAGCCGAACTGTTGACCCAACCATGTCAGTCAAACAGGCCCCATTCGGTGGCAGTTCTAATGGGCAAAAAGTACAACCCATACGATGTGTATCTACTACTTCCATTATTGACTGCTTAAAGGGGAAGTAGTGAGGCAGGAAATTGGGAATTGAGGCCAATTTCTGCCGGTTTCAGACTTCAATAAATTGTCGTCGTAGGCACAAGTTTTCACTTATTTCATGTTCCGCATGTATCATTTGAGTAATTTGACGCTATATGAAACGTCTTTTAGCCTGAGAAACAAATAGGAGTAACTAAATTGCATTACGCACTTTAGAAATTAAATTTTAAGAGAACACTTGTGTTTTCAGATTAATTTGATCCATTTTTTTTGTAATTATAATATATATGTGATGACAGCAAAAAAAATCCAATCGTTAGTGTCCTTAAAAAAGACTTCACACAACCCTAGCCCTATCCGGCCGTAATCAGTCAACTATAGACCCACTCAAGTGGGTGCTTAGAGATTGAATTGACGAGCCCTCCAGCGTACACAACCCTGTCGTCCCGCCGTGCGCCCTGGCGGCGCTGTAAGACAAACACCGGTTGCCAAATACCGGCGAGTCGGGCCAAAGATCCAACCGATTGTTGCCCGCCCGATTCCCGGCCCCGCCGTCGACTTTTCCTCGCGGAATAACTAAAAACAAGAACTCTGGTTTTAGGTTATCGCGATTGTTCTTGATGGGGTGTTGATAAGGAGGAGTTGTTAGTACGCAACCGCACTAGTGGGACTGTCATCAAGGCGAAATTAATAGCTATATAGTTGATCAACATAACTTGCTTTTGACGTTCCTATGGAGCGTTGTTTTCGTGACATGATCGGCAGCTGGCCGGGCTGGGGAGGTCCATGTCTGCTGGTTGTGATGCAGTAAGCGACATACAACAGTGGCGTCCACACACCCTCACAAACCCTCGCGTTATCGCCGAGTTGTTATAGTGAGAGACAAAACCCTCGACACAATATGCATCAATGAAACAACTGGTCTGATGAGGAACTTCATTTTGAGGCCGCGGTGTACCGGACCGATGATCGCCCATAAACATGACAATGGAAGGTCGATTTATTTTCAGTCGTTAACATTGTTATCTTTTTGATAAATTGATCTACATGGTTAAAGTTCGCACGAACATACCAACTTCAAAGCAATTAATACAATATTAGAAATACATTACAACCATGGGCGTCGATTCCGATGTGGGAGGCAGATAATCCCCTACTAGGGGTGGGCAATCGGGAAGTATTCCTCCCACCCGAGCTTTAAAATGTCAGCAAAAATATCCTCCTGTCAACGTGGTTACACTGACAGTGGAGGCTCTTGTTTAAGGGGACTATATACGATAAGCAAACCGAATTGAGCTACCGACAGGTATGAACGTGAACACGCTTCATGTAAATGATAAATTCATACAAGTTTCTATCATGAACAGCGCCACCTAGAGTCACAGTGTCCAGTCACAAGCTTCAAATTTATTCAGTAAAATATTCTTTAATAATACCTGTTAACCCCTTTGTGAACAATTTGAGCGTCCTCATATTTATTCCGAAATTAAAAAAGAAGAAGATGGCGTCCGGGAATTGGGCACAAAATCAATCAATCTATCAATCAATCAATTACTTTATTCCCGTTCATCGGCAGAGTGTTCCCACTCACATATCCAACTACGTATTTGTCAGAAAATTATTTGCTTTTTTTTCTTCAAGTGGCGCATTTTAATTAAAAAGGGATGGATGCACTTTACATACACAAAAAAATCGGCAAATCGCGCGAAAGTAAAATTGCTTTCTGAACTCAGTACCATAACGGGTAGTTAATTCGGTTAATGAACGAAAATGTTCAGAGCTTAATGAAATACCACTAATTGTTGAATCTTGAAATACCACATATTGTGGAATCTGAGGTAAAAGTTTTGCTCTAGCAAGGCACTGGAGACGAAAAGTCAAAGTGCGCCACGCACGTTAGGGCCCGCCCCGATTTTAGGGGGCGTTCACAAACTTTTTTTAAAATTCAAAAATCGCCCCAAGCAAGGCTTTAACAACCACTCTTGGCAAAGGACTAGAAAGAAGAAAAAAGACGAAAACAATCAGGAAAGCTGGAGGTAGGTATTGATATAGACTTAAAACAGGATCATAGAATGGAGGGAAACAGCCACTAGGCAAGTAGTTCCAAAGAGATACAGAATGTGGGAGCAAGCTACTAGAGTACATTGTATCTCTTTGTTCTACATCTCGGCACAGCTAGAGTGTATGGGTGAGAGGAAGCAGAGAGCCTGGTTGCACGCTCAAACACCGGGAGGAACCAAGTTGAACAAACTGGTAGAACAATTTCCATCGAAATATCGTTAGAACTGACTGAGGGCGACTGACGATATTGCACCACATCACTTTGATGTGATCATACTTTCTGTTGATTCTACATACCGCCCTCTATTGATAGAGGGCGGTTTGTAGAATTAGCAGAAAGTATGAAATCCTTTTTGTTCCAACATTAAATAATAACTGTTGATCTAGCACCATACTAGACTATGCGGAAACGAATTCGCAGTCAGTTGCACTTGCAGTGATGATGTTCGGATTGATTAAGTAACGTGTCATCGAAAAGCAGAGACACACATTTTCTGGTAAGTCACAGCATCCTCCCGCCACATCTTTGCGAATGTCTTGTGTTAATTAAATTCGCTATTTCAATTAAGCCATAACTGTTTCGAAGTCGGTACTTGCCCTGTAAAATAAATGTTTTGAAATACTGGAAAAAATATTGTAACCTGACGCCACTTCCGCGATTGCCATGATTGTGTACAAAGTAGTTTAATGGAGATCGAGAGTCAAGAAGATTTAGAAAAAAAAGAAGTAAGTATTTGTCCTAACAAAATTGGAGATGTTCCTCAGTCCAAGATTCATGTCTTAATTTATCATCATTTTTGCAAGGAATGATCTTCATTGAGATGATACATGAAGACAAAAGTGGCGTCAGGTTGCAACATTTTTCCCTTTTTTAATTTTGTAAATGTGTAGCAAATATTTGAAATACAGTTTAAACACGTTTAACCATTTCACAAGGGCTGATACCCATCCATTATGTGTGAATGAAATGATAAATCAACAATGATTGGCATATTAAATATTGGGCAGCACTGAAAAAGTAAAAACTTAACTACGTACATGTATCCTGATTCAGAGGGGGGGGGGCGCCGATTGTAATCAAGTACTGCCGTGCTTCTCAGGTTTTGAAAACATTCATGACGTTGTTACTTATTTGTGTGTGTATGTTGATTCCTTCTATAATTGGGGTTTCGTTGAAACCTTTAGGAAAATTTGTTAACGGATTTAGATATTTTTTTGTTTAAATACGTACATGTACACATCAAATCCGTATATGGCGCCCCTGATTCATAAGTGACAGATCCCGGGTTCAAGCCACTGTAGTGCCCATTTCGCATTTTAAATTTTTTTTTTTTTTTTTTTTTTCATCCCAAAAATAAGAATATTCTTCTTTTATTGAAATTTACTCCTACATTTAATTGCAGAGTATCACTTTTCCTTTTTCTGATTCGTGGCTCTAGAGGATTTTTTTCTGCGTGAAATGACATCACACTTTTGCTCATGAATATGCAAATTCACATTAGCATAAAACCAAAAAGGCACCAAAATGCCCTTTAAAATTGCAAAATGAAGCCAGCATCTAATTCTAAGTCATAAGATTAACCCCCAATTCTATAAATGTGGATTTTCTGATGTCATGAGCCTTAGAGCTGGCGCTACCCAAGCTACATTGGTGTGCAGCTCACAATATGGAGAAACACCAGTTGTTGAGACTCATTATGGGACTAATCGCAGTACAGCTCATAATTGTTGCCCAAAAAAATTACTGCAGGAAAAGATATTTAATATGCAAAATACTCCACCACTTGAAATCACCATATGTTTATACAATTACGTCCACTTGTCTTTGTCCTTGTTTCATTTGCGGGATACACAATATGACAACCAGTAAAAAAACGCCAAGCAGATAAATAGATGTTGCATACGTGTATGTAATGCTGACAAACTGCCTAATTATGTGCCGATCTTTGAGTTTATAGTAAGACGCTTGTATGTATTCACATTGCCAAGCCCAATTACTGTACTCTTTATGTATCCTTGAAATACATAATGTAATTAATCGTTTGGAAAACAGTTTCCACAGGCTGTCGGACTCTGTACTTTGGCATTCCCTGGGAGATTACAATCAATAATGTAAATTCAGTTGTGTAACATTAAATATCTGTAAATGACTTCAAATAGATTAACATTGATAACTGGAGGAGAGTATTGAACCATTTGAGGAGGGTATTGACCCATTGGAGTGCTTTTAATCATAATTATCTTTCAAACTAAAATCAATTCAATTTCTTGTATGAAAATATTAATAAAAACCAAATCACCTATTACATGTACATGAATTGAAAAAAATCGAGCCTAAATGCTTTGACTTTATAGAATAACAGCACAGAGTTGACAGACGACCCCCTCCAAATGTAACGCGAGTTACAGTGGAATTGTCCTCAAAGCAGACAATACAAAGCTTGCCTATGTGTAGTTGAGCTGGATCTGAAAATACGACTTTGTTATACTTTTTATAACTAAAATGCTAAAACAGGACAACATTTATATTTATGACAGGTGCCATTTATTCTCCAATCAAATACAGGCTTAAGACTCAGTACTCTATACGCGTAGTTGGTGCAGCACCATGGTGGAGGAAAATTCCCACCAGCACAGTGCCAATGGCAGTGACCAGAGCAATAACGCCAACTACAAGTTCACCCCCCGGCAGCTGGATGCACAGAAGAGACGGGAGGACAATGAGAACCATCGAATGATCTCCATGGTGTTCCTAAGCCTGTTGATTGACCTGCTTGCGTTCACTATGATTCTACCCCTACTACCATCTCTGCTGGACTATTATGCACAACATGATCAGGTTGGTTGATTTCTTCAATTTGGGGTTTTTTTCTGGTAATAAAACCAAGGAGTCTTCAGAAGCACCATTTGCACTATAAAAATAATGTGTATTCGCATGGCCCTGGGTTATCTGAGTTAAACACACATGTGCATAAACTATTGCATGCTTGGTTAATCATTGGAGTAGTTTGCAAATAAAAATACACCTGTTTTCAATTAAAGAATTGAATTATTTATTTGTTTGTTGAGTTGTTTTTGTGATGGTACCTCTCTAATTGGTTTTCAGCCTGATGATAGATATTTGAAGGACATGCACACTTCACCCGTTTCATAAAATTTTATTTCTTTTAGGAAATGCAGGATCAACCCATGTTTCATTTGAAAGTGAATGGCTTCTGTATTGCTAGAAAAGTAGCCATTTAGAAAAAAATCTATTCAGGCTAGCTGGCTTGCACTGGTTCACAGATGTGTAACCATTTGCATCCAAAATATGGACTAACTAAATTTGGTAAATTGGGAGCAAAATTTGAAAAAAGTCAGGGTTTTTTCCAATGATGGTTGGCCAACCATCGTTGGAAATTAGTACAAAAATTCAACTTTTCTTAAAATTAAAGCACACCAGGTGCCATGATATCACAGGATGCTTAAGACTTTTGTTCGCTGACAGTGAAGCAAGGTATTTCATAATAATTTGGTAGTTTTTTTCATGATTGCAAATGGTGTACCTTTAATTATTGTCATAATTTGTTTGTTTCTCACATCTTTCCTTACACAGGGTGGTCTCCTGCCAGTGTTACGATCCAGAATCGACAGCTTCAGGGACCTTCTTGGAATTCCTGACACTCACAAATATAATTCTGTTCTATTTGGTGGTAAGAATTCATTCCATATTTTGCAAAGGCTGTTTTAGCCAAAATTTGTACATTGAAAACTAACACACCCCCCCCCCAACAAAACAAAAAAATAGACAATATCCCTCATACAGTAAAACCCTCCCTCTCTGGCTGGCAATTTCAACATGGCCAGTCCTGTTGAGTGCTCCCTGCCTTCATAAATCAGGATTGACTGGTTGTGATTGTTATGAAACCTGTCATAGCCGTGCTTTGACTGCAGGCGATTGATAGGCCAGTTGTGCATACCAGCCACCTGCTTTTGTCTGTTGATTGAATTTGGCTGTCACAGTGTGCCTACAAGAAATATAATGTGGCTGTTGGTGACTAGCCAGTGTAAAAGGCATGGCAGGGGAACAGGATTGATTTTTGACTGTCTGTGACTGATCAAACAAAGGAAGGTTAAATAGAAATATTGACTCTTTTTTTCTCTGTTTTTTTCACAGGTGTGATTGGATCGTTGTTCTCATTTTTGCAATTTATTGCCAGTCCTGTCATCGGTGCTGCATCTGATGTGTATGGCAGAAGACCTCTGATGCTACTAACAATGGTAAGACACCGTAAGAGCTGTATCACGACAACAAAAGCCATTATTTTGTATCGTGTCTGGGAAATGTAAATTCAATATTTAGTTTTGCCCTTCGCCGATGTACTTAAAGGTAGAGTAGACACTGCTAAACAAAATGAGTACGACTATATATTTTCTAAAACAAGATTTATTTTCTTATATTAAGAAATTTAAGAAAATTATTTTTAGCAGTGGACCATTTGTATCTATCCAAAAAGTAACCAACCAAATTATTGTTGAAAAAGCTTACTTGGTTTAAAGATAGTATTTGCACTAAACTCCCTGTGAAATTTTGCTGCCATTTTCAAGAAAACAACAAAAGAAGGTCATTTCCAAAGACGTGTCGGGCGACACATTTTTTGGAAATTTCCAGTGGCAGTTGGTTTGTAATTGGCCGAATCCATGAATGAGTGCAAGCGCGTTGACATGACGCACATGCAGAATTGTTGATTCAGTGTATGACACCATGTAGCAACAATCGACTGAATGAGAATTATGTCCGATTTTCAAATTACAAATGATCTTTTTGACTATGTTTCCTTGTTGTATTACCATATACAGACAGGCATAACCATATCTTACTGCATATGGGCCGTTTCGCACAACTTTACGCTTTTCGTCATCGCACGCATCATTGGTGGAATCAGTAAAGGTAACGTCAGCTTGAGCACAACCATTGTCACCGATGTGTCTACAGCCACGACAAGAGGCAAAGGAATGGTAAGTCAGAAAACTAATGTCCAAAATTGTCAAAGTTACATCACCTAATTCCTTCATTTAGATTAAGTTTGGCATTGAACCAGTAAGGGGCGACTACACGCGGAAAGTGTCGAAAAGTGTTACCAAATCTTGTCAAAGGAAAATTAGTGCATGCATGTTTAAGTTTACTTGTCAGAAACTAAAATGCAAGTTTTAAGCTTGTCAGAAACTAAAATGAACATTTTGTAAAAGGAAAATTAGTACATGCATGTTTCAGTTTGCTTGTCAGAAACTAAAATGTAATTCACTTGTTTGGCATAATTCAGTTTCAATTTCAGTGTGAAACAGGTGTATAACACCCCCTTTTCCCCACCCTTCCGCCTTTCTTCTTGCCCCACTTCTCCAGGCACTGATAGGAATAGCCTTCTCCTTAGGTTTCATCATGGGTCCTATGATAGGTGCCTACTTTGCCATGTCGTCTGGCGGTAAGGGAGAGGCATTATACTTCAAGCCGGCCCTGTTTGCAATCACGCTGGCTGTGGCTGACATCATCTTTATCTTCTTGTTTTTCAAGGAGACGTTACCCACAAACAAGCGAGTAAGTAGACCTGGGGGGGACCCTAAATTTTGTTTCATAAAATACGTTGGTGAAGGGGCAAAACCCCCGATATTAAATTTTGTTTCTTTTCCTTTTATCAGTTTCGCAGTTTATAATTAATTTTCTCCTTACGCATCAAACAAATTGGGATTCATGTGGCCTGTTCACCATTCAAATCCATTCATAAACGCTGGTTTTATTGTGTTATGAATATTCATTTGTTCACATGTGACCTGTGATCTTTACATAGGCGGGGTCTCTTGGAAGTAGCTTCAAGGATGCCTGCGATCTCATCAGTCCACTCTCGCTGTTCCTCTTCTCAGCCGTCAAGAAGTTAAAACCGTCTGGTAAGTATTGGACAGATCTCATCGGGGTCACAAGGGAGGGCGACAGTGCATAAAAAAAGTCCATTCATTTGTGTTTCTTAAAAGGACGACACATCCTGAAATGCACCACTTGGGCTACAAATGTATTTCAAACGAAATGATGTTCATTGGAAAAAGCATTTAAGAATCAAATATAAATGTCCACACAACCATCCTGTAAAAGCTTGTGTTATTCTTGTGAGAACTAATTTCAGGGGTCGAAATTTTTTGACTTTCAAAAAGCAAGCTGTTGGGTGCTAGTCTTGAATCCTGCCGCACGTGTTCCACCAGTGCATCGCATTCTGCAGACGTGCGAGAAACAACATTTGTGTATTGGTGTTGTGTGTATTTTGTGACACACACACACACATGTACTGACATTGAGTGGACATGGCTAGAAATACGTATGCGTGTCCAACAAAATGCTCACCACGTCCAATGTAAACAACAAGGGTGTTTTTTTTCACTTTTCTTGGGAACGGTAAGACATTATGTTAGTTTCCTTTCAACCAGACCCTTGTAATAGGATAAGTAAACAATAAAAAACATGACATTTTCGAGGATTTTAGGCCGTAATGCACCTTTTATTGTGAGCTCCTGTTAGTCCAAAACTTCAATCTCGAAATTCGCTTGTGACCTTGACGTACGATGTAATCATTCCGAGTTGTGCTTTCTGTGTATTTTCCAACATTGGGTAAATCTGAGATTAAGACAAAAACGTACAGGTAGCATATAGTCACAAACCCTTTTTGACACCAAGTACATTGGTGTGTATTTCTCCAATAAAGAAATTGTTATTCATTTTGGTAATCAATTCTCCTTTTCTTTGATTGTTTCCTTTCTCCAGAGCTTCAGATGCTTCGTCTGCTTGGTGTCTGCTACTTCCTGTATCTCTTCCTGTTTTCGGGGTTAGAGTTCACTCTGACATTCCTGGTTCACAGACGATTCCAGTACACAAGGTAGGTGGGGACTGTTATTGGCCTTAGATAGTTAGAGACATCACAAATGTCTCCACAAAAAGCTAGGATAGTAAAGGACAAGGCTTGGTAGGAAAACAAAGGAAAACTGTTTCATTTTTTTTTTTAATTGAAGAAGTAAAAGGTTATCTTAGATTAGTTTTATTTTTTTGAAAACTTTTTTTTTTTTTGAAATAAGAGTGCAATAGAGTTTTTTCCCACAAATGAATCAATTTTGCGCTCAACTTTACATTTCAATGTCACCTGGGAATTCATTAAAAAAAATTATGACAAAATCTGTGCAATATGAGTTGGGAAAGTAGTTGTTTTATCAGTTGGTGTGAGTGCAAAAGTATAAAAATGGTCTTTGAGCATTTAGAATGGAAGAAGTTATAGCGTAATATCACCAAACAAATCTAAGCCATTTTTTGCCGTGGTGCCACGCCCGTGTGCATGCAGCACACGTTCTTAAAGATGAGGCAAGCCCACGTTTTGGTAACCCTATTGGTAGAAGGGGCCCGGAGTGCCATGTCAGAAAATGGCTGTCACCAAATTAGTCTATTACTAATTGAAAAATGTGCTTGTATTTTCTCTTAGTATGCAACAGGGTAAGATGTTTGTCTTCATCGGTGCTTTCATGGCTCTTGTGCAAGGTGAGTTAACTGTTTCCACAGTTCCACGTAGATTACCAAGTCAACTGTATAAGAAGCCCTAATGGTCCAGTGGTTACGGTGTTCGACTCATGTACGAAGGTGCGTGGGTTCGAACCGTACCAGGAACATGGTGTTTGTGCCCTTGGGTAAGACACTTAACTACAATTGCCTCTCTCCACCCAGGGGTATAAATGGGTACCTGTGAGGGTCGAGGACCGATTGAGCGCAGATATCGGCTGCCGCGTGGTCCCATGGCCTAATGAACGGGGTAATATTTGTAAAGCGCTTAGAGATCATTGATACGATGGAAAGCGCTATAAAGCACAATTATTATTATTATTAATTAGTTTTTAATTATAGCCCTAATAAAAACGATTAGTGTTTATCATTTCTTTTATCATGTACAGGTGGCTGTGTTCGAAGAATACGCCCAGGCAAGGAGAAACGGGTAGCAGTTATTGTAAGTGAAATAAAAGTTTGAAATTAATCTTATACCATCAGGTCATATTTTGGCCTTGATGATTGGCTGATGTTCAAAGGTAGAGTATATTATTTGTCATTTGTACATTTCTTTTGGTTTGAAGCAACGAAAGTGCTCAAAATCTAAAGACGGGTGCTTAACAACTAACCTGATGAAGTTTTAGCTGTGTGAATGCTGTATATTCCAAGAAAACAATAATCTAGTATCTCGATTTCAATTCAAAAGTTGCCAAGTCATGTTTTGAATTGCACTCAAACTGACAGCATGCCAGAAAGAATAATTTCACAGGGAGTTTATTGCCATTACTATCTTTAAACCAAGTCTTTAAAACAATCTTTTCGTCAGTTACTTTTTGGATAGCTGCAAATGATCTGCTCTATCTTAAACCACTGTTCGAAAAATACTACCCAAAGTACACAGTAGAATTCAAAAGAATCAAAGGATGTTATAAGCCATCAAGCTGGCATTTTTTAAACTCTGACCATTATAATAACACAAGTGGTTCCCTTTACCCTGAATGTGAGAGATGTCAAGTGTACAGTCAAAGTATTTATTTTATGTAAGAATATTGGTTCCTCGTAAAAAAAAGTCATTAATTGCTTTTCTAAAAGAAGGGCATATAAGTATATGGTCTTTACCAAAATGATTTTTAAATCATAATTGCAGTTTTCATTCAGTGTTTTCAAATATGATTTTCCTTATTCAGGGGATTGTCGTTCTCATTCCGTCTTTCATCATCATTGGCTATGCACAGTCGATCGCACTTCTATATATTGGTTTGGCATTATTCTCTTTTGGTAAGTATTCGTGAAACTTAAGTATGCGTTTAAAGTCCAGTTTGTTGAAAGAATATGGCTCAGCTTACTTAAATTGACCCCTGTCCATTTTAAGTAAATCTTTTGATATACATGTATGTACATGTATTTATATTTGCCACTGTCATTGTATCAAAAAATTGGAATCATGATGCAATAAGTGACTCACAAGTGTTTACGTTAGAGAGCAAACGTCTGCATGTTTGATTCACCTTAAAAGACCCCAGGAGGAGGATCTGTGGGGGGAAAGAATAGGTTGGGAGGGGTGGGGTCCCCCTCCCCCTTTGAGCCACAAAAAAAGTAAAACCATACAGGAACAAATGTGCACATCGGACTCCTTTACCTTTTTATTGGTTAAACCCTCTCACACAACCAGTCACCTCCCAATTATCTTCACTTTAATTTTAATAGGCATGCGCAATACTACCAATGAAGCCGTAGTTCATAGAAACCTAAAATCACGCTACACTCAAATACAAAGGAAAATCATGCAGAAAAAAAAGCATCACATGTCTGATACCCCATTCCCTTAGACTGCAAATAAAAAAGAAAATCTTGTCGGAAATATAGCAGCACAAGCCTGATAACCCCCACACCCTCCCCCTCCCCTCCCCACCACAAGCAAAGGAAAATCATGCAGAAAAAAGAAGCACATGCCTCATAACCCCCCGCCCCCCACGCCTTAAGCCAAAGTTGGATCCTCCCCTGGAACCGTAAATTGTTATTTGTTTCCTTAAAAGCTGCAGGTACAGTGGTGTCCTGCATGACAACTGTTGTGTCTGCATACGGTAAGTGCATCCAACTTTCTTTCCATAATATCAACCCAATCCAGCTCAAATGCCTTTAAACATAATTTTTATTTCAGAGATCATTTTGTTTTCACAGATTATTAAATAAATAATTATTTTGTTTTTGAGGGCAATTTGCCGAAACAGCCTTTGTTTTTGTTAAGATTTTGTTTACATACATGTGTGCTTTCCTATGGGAGCTTGGTGGATCTCATCCAAACTTGGCTTCCATGAGGAAGCACACGTGTGTAAACAAAGTGTGATGTCATTATGTCTCAAGACTACAGAAGCTTCAAACTCATTGAGTTCATGCAACATCCGCTTTTGACACTTTCTCATGTCTTCTATCTGCTACGTTCACAAGTACCCCCTCACCGGCAAAGAAAGTACAGTTGGGGGGTGACCGACCGAGGCCATTTTGCCTGACTGCAATTCATTTGCCCAAAAGCGCGGCCACTTCGTGTACATAGTACAAATCCCCTGGTGTACGTGCGTCACACACAAGGAACGGTGCGCGTCAACCAGTGAAATGTCCCACCCATGGGATGTTGTTGCTAGGTAAAACGGCGCCCTCTTTGTTCGCGCACAGAGCCCATAGCTGTTAGGAATACACGTTATGATTTCAACATTTTCACCAACCCGACAATTTTCCATCCATTATTAGTTATTTTTTCTTGTGTTTCAGGTACAGCAGACCAGAAAGGCACCATCATGGGCATCTTCAGATCCCTCGGTGCCCTTGCAAGAGCATTAGGACCAATATTTGCTTCAGTGTGTAAGTATAGACTCTCTTGCTCTTAGAGGATCCATGAGATGAAAACACTTTTTTTGTCTTTCATCCGTCTTTCTTGATTCTGTTTCTGTCTGTCTTTCTTAAATTTTTATTTGTCTTTCTACAATTTTGACGGATGTCTACCTGTCCAAAGTTTACAATACATGAATTTTATACCTCAACCAAGATTAACAAACATCAGCCTGATGTTATCATAGTCCAAGTATCCCTCTTAAAACGTCTTTAACTCTATCTACATTTACCAAAAAATTAAAAACACAACTTCTTACATTTTATTCGTAGTCTGTTGATACTTTGTAAACATACAGCAATAGCTTAATGATACTCCTGTTTGTTTGTTTGTCCGTCAGTCTGTAAGTGTCCAACAGGTCAGGGAACAAAAGCGATCGCTTCACCCTATCCCCGTGTTGTTATGTGGATTATGTATATATTTTCATTATGTTAATAACGGTGTTGTGTAAAATTACTTCGTATTATATTTTGTATGCTTAAATGTTAACATAACGATTTAATATTTCTAGTGACATAACAACGTTGAAATAAATGTTCAGCAATCAATCAATCAATCAATCAATCATTACTTTGATTTGACGATGACGTCAAAGATTGGATCATAATTGATTTTCTGAGACCTCACACAAATGGGAACATCAGACTTAATTTAAATCCGAGCGAGCAAAAAGTTGTTCTGCTTCAACTGCTGCATACAAATCAGTTGGGTAGATTTTATGTTAAAATAATTTTTTAAATGATTTATATTGAGGCAGTGAAACTGTAAAAAGTATTGAAAGATCTTGAGAGGGTCTTCGTATGATTGTGTCTCAGAGAAACATTTTCTCACTGCAACGCTAATATAAAATTTCTTTGAATTTTGTGACCAGGGTTCTGGAGTATGGGGCCTACGATCTGCTATGCGATGGGCGGAGTCCTGCTGATCCTCCCACTCATTGGCCTTAGTAGGGTGGTGCCTCTCAAACTGGAACACTGATGATATGCCTTGACAGCTAAGAACACTATGCATATGCATGATATGTAAATTTACGTACGACTATTTGAAATGGGACTATTTGAAGTCTGCTCGCACAACACCCTGACAAAGTTTGCAATTTTTTGTGTTTTATGTTTTAGGCCAAAACAAATTACTTCTGCTTCTGATTACATGGCATTTGAAAATAGGGTAGGTAGGGATTTTCTCTCTTTTTTTGGCAATTTCTTTTGTTTACGATCATAAGGAGGTGTCTGCATGTAGTAAAGGGTAACAGGTAGTAATTGATGGTTTTCTGGGTTTTTATTCCTCATTTTCCCCCCCCCCAAAAAAAAATAGGGTAGGAGCTGTCAAAATAGGGTAGGTAGGGTAACAAGAAGCAGAACTTGGGGGGGGGGGGGCCTTGGCAGCACCGAATTCCTATGGTGCTTGAAATTTAAAACCTATGTGATGCGATCAAGCTAAAGAGTCGTTTGTCGACCCCAGTCAAAAAAAAATTTATTACAGATTTTAAAAGCGCACAATCTCAGCATTACTGCTGTGAAAACCACATGCTGATACCATCAGTAGTTCAAAATTATAGAAGTCGGAACACCATGAAACGTGATGAAGTGATGTGATGAAGTGGCCCTATTGTGGCCCGTATCTCCAAATGAAAATTCTCGGCAAACGACTCATGTAGCTTGATCCCATCATATATACGATTTTCGAAGCCACTAGTACCCCTGGGAGAAGAATTAGGTGATATAATCCAGATGACCCAACTGCGTTAAACTTCACGAGGAAATGTGTGCAAGAAAGTGCATGCTATGCCTGCCTGCACACACTGAAGAATAATTTCAAACTTGCAATTGATCAGAGGAGTTTCAAAAAAGGCAAATTTCAATATGTGTTTTAGAGGCTTTGTTTACAATCAAGCATATTGAAATGCTTTCTTGTAGAAATTTCTATCCAGATTTTTCAACCCCCAAACAAGGACCCACCTACTTGATAAATTAGTGTGTAAATTTATAGTTGCTGCATCAGAAAATTTCATAAAATGGTCATTTCCGCCTCGAAATGACTTCACATACCGTATAATTATGCAAAAAAAAAAAACTTCTGCAACTTTGTCTGGGTTATGTGGGTGTGGATCTCATTATATTGGTACATATCTTCCCCGTTAACCTTAAACGTCACAAGCAGTTTTAAGAATAATCTTATTTGGAGCTGAAGTACAAATCAAACATGTAGAATTATGCCACGTGGCGCACCGTTCATATTAAATGCCTGTCAGTTTCTACATGTATGATGGCTTTTTCTGCATCCGTTACAAAGTAATGTGAACAGGGTGGTCCAAAACAACGTCCACACTTTTCCAGATGCCGATTTCTTGGAATTTGGGAGACATGTTCAAATTGGTTCAAGATATTCCTAAACTATAGCCTCTTTGTGGTGTTTGGTGAAAACGGCGCAGAAAAATAAAGCCTATAAAGTTAAGCAGTGGCGATGGTTTGAAGGAAGATTGTAAAAAAAAAAGTTTGTCCACATGCAAGTCTATGAGATATGGTCAACACAATAGCACTGCGCACACAACTGCAATAGTTGTAATTGGGTCTACACACCCGACACAGATGTGGACAAAGTAGGTTTTTGACCATTCTTCCGTAAATGGCCGCTATTTTTTTAACTTGGAATATCTTAATATATATATCTTAAGGAAACATGTCTCTTCAATTTTGAGAAATCTGCCTCCGAAAAAATGTAAACTTTTTTGGACCACTCTAAGTTTAGCGCACATTCTACTTGTATATAAAAATGACAACACTTAAATTAATTTGGTATTTTTTTAAAGAGTTTATTTTGAATCTCTGTAAAAGAATGAGCCCAAACGAGTACGTCAACTCTATTTTTTGTAGCTCAGTGGTGGAGGATAAAAAGTTATATATATTTGAATTTAAACTGATAACTAATATGTGAATATTTGCTAAAATCTGGTTAAATAATATCAAATTGTGACTTATTTAAATCAAATTTCTGTAATTAAAGGTGAATGTAGGCGTTTTGATTAAATTGAGACTTTTCTAATATCTGCACGAATTTACTTTTCTACCTGCAATACTAGTACATGTATTAAAACAATTTTCATGAGTGGCGATGCCTATTAATTGACAGTCAATATTATTGGGACACCGACTACATTATGTTGAAGTATACTCAGCAGCATTTTTGACACTTTCAAAATGTATGCTTTAAAAGAAGCTCAACATTTCCACATTTATGACAGAATCTGCAGCCCTAATGTAGGCCCGACAAACTGGGACGTATTAAAAAGGAAAGTTTTATTTATTCCTATAAGTTTTCGTTCGATGAATCTCTAATTTGCACGAGTGGTGGAAGACGTAATTAAGTGTTCGGATGGGCTCCCTTAGTATTAGGTTTGGTTCACCTCAGGATTTGATGCAAGAAAGATGTAATCTTGGGAACATTTTATTTCCGCACAATACTTGAACAGTATTTGTTTTAGGCATTGAGGCTGCACAAGAGATCTAGATGATTGTTCACCACAGCCTTTGTATTACCTGATTACACTTTATACTAAATTCTCAAAGTAACAAGGCAATGGTCACAAAATTAGTACTGTACGTAAATAATTTTTCAAGCATTAAGTGAATTAAATGATACTTAGAATCTACACTACATATTGTCCGTGCTGGCTCAGTGTTCTGTTTCAAGCCCACCGGGGTTTTCTTGATAAGATGTCCACTTTATAAACTTCAAATCAAGCGATTTTTGCAATCAAATATTTTAAAATAGCGGGGATATTCAATTTCCAAAGTTGTGAAATAATCTAGTTTTTCTGGCTATTTTAAAGCGTTTTTCATTTAATTTCACCAACTCTAACATTCATTTTCGTTCGAGAACAATTTCACAAGTTTAAAAAAACCAATTTAGGCATTTACCTTTCAATAAGCCTCTGTACTAATGACGTCATTTGTTTACGTGTGTGCTTTCCTATGGTGCTCAGTGGATCGTGGGCCCCCACTGGCTCCATAGGAAAGTGCACATGTAAACAAAGTGTGACGTCATCAGTACAGAGGCTTATTTCAAAGTTTGGCCACCTTCTTTAGTCACCGGGTCCAGAATATTCGTCTGTTGCTGAATGGCATCATTCACAGAGGAAAAGTGACGTCACATGGCATTGGGGGGGGGGGGGAGAGGATTTTTTTTTAGGGGGGGGAGGATTTTTTTTGGGGGGGGCCAGGTAGGAAGACAGTGGCACATCAGCTGGCGTTTGCACAATCGAAGAGTTGGGGGGGGCCCTCTTGGGGAAATGACTTGGGGGGGATCTCTCTCCTCTGTTATGCTGTTTTCATCGTCTCTGCTGCTTATACTAAGCAAGATGAATCTGCAAAGATAAAAGAAATACAGTTGACTCTTGTTAGTACAAACTCTGTTAATACAAAATTCTGGTTATAACAAACAAAGCCTTGGTCCCGACTGTGCATTTATGTGCACAATGAATGGGACTGATGTTCCTCTTAATACAAAATTCTGATATAACAAACAATTTGGCTAGGTCCGATTGAGATTGTTATAACGAGACTTGACTCTATATCTAATGTATTACATTTTTTGTTCACATTCGAAGCACAATCCAGCTATCGAATTGAGAAGATTTGTCACAAAAATTGATACGCCACTTCCCAAACACTAGGACAAAAATTGAAAATAAATACATATCAATCGCTTTTGCTCAATTACCTCAAGAATTGGTGAAGAATTGCCCTATAAGCAGGTCATCAGTCCTTCCGTCGGTCCTCCTCCCTGCTTCCGGTTCCTTTCGATATAGACATCCCATCCTGCACACCGTCATCTCTGCCAGAAGATTAGAAGGAACACATGTAAGAAAATGTGTGTGAGATGATGCGCCTGTTGTGATTTTTACTTCACATTAAATTTATTTTCCTCCAGATTTATCGTATTTTCTTAAAATAAGGTATCATTAATATCGCAGACACAACAAGCACAACATTTTTCAAAAGGAAAATAACATTAATATTTTACCGGGAAAGCAGGAATGGGTCGCCCGATAAGCAGGGTCATCCAGCCACCCAGTGTTCCTCCTCCCTGCTTCCGGTTCCTCCGCGTCATCAGTTCCTGACACGAGCACTCTGGCTTACTGGTCCTCCTAAATCTAAAATGTTGCTGAAAAGAAAAACAGTCTTCCTAGCGGAGCTAGGTTTGTTACTACAATGTACAGTGGTATCCTGATCAAATTTGTGACCGGTGCTGTGGTATAAAGAGAAGGAAAACGTATATTAATGGTCCTTACCTGACCACTAAGATACAATCATACAAAAAGGGGAAACTATTTAGGTATACGCGCGCTACTTAGATCTCTAGGCCTAACTGGGTGCAAAATAATACACACAGACGGTGAAGTTAATCCAATTTGTGGCCCTTACCAGACCACTATAATGGATTTAACTGTTGAGAAAGAGATAATCCAATTAGTGGCCCTTACCTGACCACTGTAATGGGTTCAACTGTTGAGAATGAAAGCTTAGTTTATTCTAAATATACAATTGGCCTACTGGTCGCGAAAATGACAACTCCAGCAATGCGCACCGCGCACCGCGCACCGGTTCAAAGGAAACAACATTCACAATGCCGACCAGCTGGGATCGGACTTACCAGAACTTGAAAAGTACCATCGATCAAAACCTCCACTGGTGGTGTGGTTGTTAAAAACAGTTGATGCACATTGTTTCACCCTGCACATTCAAGTTATTTACACTTTACAGAGCGATTACCAGGAGAATCCAACGTTATAGGTGTCACTACACCTGATTAACAATGAAAAAAAAATGGACACACTGGCCCTAACACAAAAGGCAGTTGTCGATCTTTGCGACTCTGATATTATGGAAGAACAAATCAGAAACAATAATGTCCCTAAGACACATTTCAACAAAATGTCGCAAAATAATCGTGAAATCGTTGAAACCATATCATTCTGATTACGTTTCACGACCGTTACATATTTCAAGGAATATGTAAGATCTGCACATGGCCCTATACATTTTATGAAACAATAAATCTCCAAGAAAATTGTTGTCACAAAGACAAATAGAGTAGATTTTTAAACATGGCCCTAGGGATCCATGAACCACGGTGAAGTTACCGCAGTCGAGGAAAGCAGTAGAGTATACAAGAGGACGTAGATCATTAGCTT